CTCTAAATACACAATTGGTGGATTCTTGGAAGCATGATGAAGCATTTGACGCATTGAAGTGTTGAGGAACCTTTTTGGATCCTCATCAGCTTGGTGCTACAAGGTTCTATACTGGGTTCAGTTCCTGTCTTCGGACGCCCAGACTAACGTCCTGTTCGGAGCGAAGCAGTCGCCCTTACTGACTTGTATACTAGGCGCCTCCTTAATAGGCAGAGCGGGGGAGTGGCCAAAAAAGAATGGCTTCATTGTTCCGTGGCGATCGCGATGTCCTTGTTACCAGTAGAAACAAAGACTTAAGAACAATAAGTAGGTAGGCTTTAAAAACAAAGACAGACGGTATTCAGGTGAATGAAGCGGAAGAGCTGTGCTTCTTCCCGGTGGACAATCGACGTCGAGGCCGGCAGAGCGTGGAGCTTCTCAGGGCCAAAGTGGACGAGACAGCATCTGAAGCTTGGAAGAGGTTGGAATTGCATAACAAAAACCAAAAAATGTCAAAAAAGAACCTTAAGGAACGAAAGAAGAGGCAAGCAGCAGACACAGAGCTGTTGGCTTTGCTAGACATTTCCACTGCAGCCACTTACCTGTTCTTTTTACAAATCAGGTGCCTCAAGATGGCTGAGATGTTTGCAAATATTATGGGAAGGTGTTTTTTGGGTACGAACATACCTTTAGATCCTTTTCTAGCCGCGTCCCTACCCCCAGTGTTGCTCCATGGACAGAAAAATGCTTACAAGTTCTTGCGCTTTAAGGTGCTAGTCTGAAACATGAGCGTTGTCTCGATTCTGCCTGCAAGTTCTCTTTACATCAAGCCAAGCTGTTGAACCGACCAGGAAGGAAGGCGTGCATAAAGCACAGAAGTTCCAAAACGGGACCAAATGAAGATTGTAGGCAAGGCTCCACTTTGCAAAAGCCGGTGCTTCAGCCAAGGACATTTGTACCAGAGGCTTTCTCTCCAAGCCCCTTCCACTCTATTGGCTGAGATATCAGACGCCTGGCTCAAGTCTGGACAACCAAAAGGAAGCGAACTCCTCAAGCAGGGGCCATTCACCGAGCTTTGGTGTTTCAGGGTGAAATCATTCGCTGCGGGCGATACATGTCTCGTCCGGGCCAAACCGGCAATCCGATGAAAGAGAGATGTCGAACCAGGTTTCTCCCTTGGACGACCTTGTTTGCCATGTGTCTTGTCCGTTTTCACAAGGTTGCTCAAGGAAACTCCATGGTTACTAGTAGTAACAAGAAGCTACTAGGAACAAGTGCATCGCTAGTAGTAACAAGTGCCTTACGAACGTAGTAACAAGTGCATCGCTATTAGGAACAAGTGCCTCAGTGACCGTTCTTCAGACCGCCGCGAGACGCGGCGTCTCAACAGGACGGAGCTGAGCCGGTTGGGCAAAGTTGGCCCGGAGAGATACTGGGGCCGCTCGGAGAGGAAGCCGGGTGGACGAAGAAAAAGAACAGTGATGAAACACAGCTTGGTGAAGCAGAGAGAGAAAGAGCAAGACAGAAAAAAAAACAGGAGAAGATTTGAGTTTCGCTGCATGGTTTGAATATGTTTGAATATAGATCTTCTTTCCAGTAAACCCCTCACGTCGGACACCTTCTGTAGATCATGTGGATAAACCGATTGAACCCAGGTGTCCAATGGTGATGTGAGATCGTCATCGTGATGTAGGTCATTAGAAGCTACTAGGTTGGAGATCATTACTACTAGTAACATGAAGCTACTAGTAGCTCCTGGCATTACTACTAGGAACAAGGACGCTACGAACGGGGCTCCTGGCCGTACTACTAGGAACAAGGACGCTACGAACGGGGCTCCTGGCCGTACTACTAGGAGCAAGGAGGCTACTAGGAGCAAGTGCCACGCTAGTAGTAACAAGTGCCTTACTAGTAGTAACAAGAAGATACTAGGAGCAAAGGGCATAGCTCCCGTCCTTGTACTGTAATTGTTCCCGTCCTTGCGTTGTCGGTTTAATTCGAACCTGAGGCGGCACAGGAGTGATGCCTCCTCCAGGAGGGGCATCAGAAATGGCGGTTGATGTTGGTTTCTCGGAGGTCTAAAGTAAACAGAAAAGTGATGTTGTAGGCAACGGTTCTTTTTTCTTTAGACCTTTAGACCTTTCTTTTCTTCCTTTTCCTGTTTCTAATAGCTTCTTGTTACTACTAGTAAGGCACTTGTTACTAGAAGCAACGGTTCTTTTTCTTTGTGTCTTTTCTACTTTCTTAAGACCTTTAGACCTTGCTTGAACAAGATGGAGATTTATCCGAGAGAGGTCGCTGCTCAGATCTCTATCAGTATCGCAAGAGAATGACGGCGGTAAACTAATTCAATAAGTAAAAGGACTTTCCAGAGACTATGGGAGAAGCTACCAGTAACAAGGGCAGAAGCTACTAGGTGGAGGCCAACCATGGCTATTAGGTTGGAGGCCATTACTACTAGTAACAAGAAGCTACTAGTAACAAGGTGAAAAAGGACTCTACAGAGACTATGGAACAAGATGAAAAAGAAGGTAAGGGCCGATAAGGGCCTTTGAGAAAGGGCTCTTAATAAAAGGCCCTTACCTTCATTTTTGCAATCCTTGTGCCATTGTGGAGAGTCCTTATGACTATTTGTACTCCATTGTTGCTTCCAGGAGCTTCGACCCAGTGTCACGTGCTACCCTTTGCACAAGTAGCACGTCTTGGTCGCAAGGCCGCTTGATCGCAGCTTCCGCCATGTCCCATGTCCTCCTTTATCCCAGTGCTCACACAAGTCACACCCCTTGAATATAAGAAGCATAGTACCCTTTCATTTCCTCACATGGAGAAGAAGTTGCGTCTTATGTCACAATGGTTGCAAGCAGCTTCTGTACAATAGATGTAAACGGAAGGGTGAGGAAGCTGAGCTCCTCAAGCATTCTTGATTCGGACTGAAACGTGCTCATGGCGAAGGGCTCTGCGAAGAAAGCAGAGTAGAAGTGCTGATTCTGTCTCGAATTCTGCCCCAAGTTGTGGTAACCTACACACTTTCGAAAGGCGCAAGGTTCCTGCAGTTGAAGCACACTCCGTCTCGTTGGAAGGTAAACTCGCCATGGCAGTTGGCACCAACCAACCATATTGAATGCCCTTTGCTACTAGTAGCGATGCCCTTGTTACTAGTAGCTTCTTACTAGTAGCGATGGCCTCCAACCTAATAGCGATGGCCTCCACCTAGTAGCCTCTAGCTACTAGCAATTTCTAGTTGCAAAGATGCTGATTACCGCCATTTCCTAGGTAGGTATTCAAGATGATGGTGAGCTGCTGTCGGTTCTGATTTACTTGCACGACACAGGCTGGCCTGACAAATTCTGAGGTAAGTGTTCACATACTGCCCAAAGACTGACATGAATGAGAACGTTTCTATACAAATGGACTCTTACTCCAAGAACTGTGCCAATGAATTTCAGCGAACCGCCCTGGCCTCTCCCCATGGCCTCAGCAGCCCTTTGTCTGCTGACTTTCATCGAAATATGACATCATTCCAGGACGCTACCAGGAGCAAAGGGCATCGCTACTAGGAACAAGGGCCTTACTACTAGAAACAAGAAGCTAGTAGAAACAATATATACATTAGAATTTAATTAGAATTAAGGCACTTGTTACTAGAAGCGATGCACTTGTTACTAGTAGAATTAAGTGTAATTAGAATCAAATTAAAATTAGTAGTAAAGGAGGCTACTAGGACATCATTCCAGGACGCTACTAGGAGCAAAGGGCATCGCTACTAGGAATAAGAACGCTACGAACGGGGCTCCTGGCATCGCTACGAACGGAGCAAAGAAAAAAAAGACGTGTTCTGAAAACACAAGGAACACTACACAGGTGGAGAGGCGGAGGTCCATTCTTCGGAGTTGAGTCTGACCAGCTTGGGTCACCTGAAGTTCGGTTCATCCACACCGTGTCCACACAGCGTCTGGGCGAAGGCTCACTGATCTTCTTCGACGAGGAGAAGTTGAAGGATTTTGTCGTCTTAGATCCTTACTGGCTCGCCGAGGTGGACAGTCACAGATGTCCCAGATATGTGACGAAGCTCGTTGGTCGGAAAAGTCCCTGTCCAGAGTTGACGATGTGGAAAAGAATCATGAAGCCTGGTTTCGGTATCTTCATTTCTGTCAATATTGCAATTGTCATGTTTGAAGCATACGTATAATTCTTTATGCCGTCGCATGCTTCAAGCCAGGCTGCTGCGAACATCTTCAACTGTCCACGGGTGGTGCAAGGCAGCGTTGCTTTGGCGAGGCCAGGCTTTGGTGGATGCAAGTGGTCAATTGCTCTGTCTAAACCACCCAGGCGAACGGCCAGGCGCACTCAAACGATTCACCCTGATGTCAGACCCCCAGATGTCAGGCGCCTCTTGGAACGTGGTGAGCTGCATGTGGAACTCTTGAAGCAACATTTGTGGCGATCCACCCGGCTGCTTGGCGGTTGGAGGATCGTTGGTGCCTTGGGAACGGAAAGGTGGCGCGCCCCCTCCGTCGCGCCACCTCCGTGCTTCCGTCGGTCATTTCCTCCGTGTTCCGGCGTGCAAGTCAGTTGAGGTTTTCCGAGCACATTCCAACGCTGATCAATCTCTTGCTGCGCTTTGATCTCTTGGTCTCTTCTTCTGAGAAGGACGCATGAAAATCAATGACAGTTGGCCATCACAGAAGGGGTTCTCCAAAAACTCGTCGATCCTCGTCCTTTGTCCCTGGGAAATGACGCTACTAGTAGCAAAGAATACTACTAGTAGCTCCTGGCCTTACTATAGGAACAAAGTTCGCTACTAGTAGCAAGGAAGGAAATGACCTGATACCCGGCAGCAGGTCGTCCTTTCGTTAGACGCTGTGCAGCGTCGCACAGTTCCTCAGTTCCTTGAGCACTCCATTTACCATTCCGACTCTACGTCGCGTCAGGACGTCTATGTGGTTCCATTCTTGTTGCCCCTCCGGAGCGGTGCCTATGAGCCGCCGAATGAAGGATCTTTATCCTTCGATTTTCACGGCATGCTCTCGAGGTGTGGCTTCAGCTTCAGGACGAAGCAGACCACACGAAGCAGACGAAGATAGGGGACCCATCATCAAAAGGACTGACATCAAATTCTCCGAAGCAGAAGCAGAAGTGTCAGACAGTACATGTGTTTTTGTTTGAGCTTCTCTTTGTAGTACATGCAAAAATATGCAAAAGGTTTTTTTGTTTGTCTTTCTGACGCTTCATGTCTTGACAACTGTCAGTACAACTGTCCACAGGCTCCTTCCCACGGTCTTCCCGCGACTGATTGCGAGTGCAGCCAAGACGCCCTCCTTGCGGCTCACACATTCGCAGGTCTTCAAGGCGTGGCGAATGGTGGGACAGTCGAGTGGACGGAACCCAAACGGTTCAGGGAAAGACTGGGAGTTGGAAGGGACGAAGTCGGACGAAGAGACCATTTCAGAGAAAGAGGTTGCTAAGTGCAGGCGAGGTTGCCGCTACTAGCTTGGAGGCCTTTTTCGTGATGATGTGTGTTTATTGTGTTTAGTTTTGTTCGGTTTTCGTGTGAGAATGTCTCACTGAATCTCAATCCAGAGACCCCATGCGAAGAAGACGTCCTCGGACTCCCGAGGACAGCTGCACCATCTTCCTGGGCCGCCGGCGGATCTGCTTCGAGCTGCTGCCGCCCGTGCGCCCCGAGATGATCGCTGTGCGGCGCCTGGATCGGGGCGAGGCACAGCAAAAGGGTGGAAGCGTTCGAAAAACACCCTCCAAGCTAGTAGCGATGGCCTCCAACCTTAGGAGAAATAGGATGAAGTATAGGATGAAGTAAGTGAGGAAGTCACTTTCCTGCTCGAATTCAGTGGCAAAATCCCTCCACGAAGCGTTAAACTCGCGAGCGAACTGGACTCGCCATCTGGCAGGAAGAAGATGACAACGGTGAACTTCCGCTGGACTTGGCCAAACAGGTCATCAATTTGGTCCATGAGCCTTGGAAGCCGAAACGACCCATGTAGTAGTAATGCCCGTGTTACTAGTAGCGATGCACTTGTTACTCGTAGCTTCTTGTTACTAGCAGATGATGCCATGAAGTGGTGTGCAGAAGTACATAGAAACACCACTGCTACTGATGCTGTTACTACACACACCACATTCAGATAATTACTCGGGGTGAAATGTTGTTATGGGTCGCTGTTCAAACCCGTGCGGGTGTTTGTTTGCCCTGCGGCCCAGCGCCGTGTTTGTTGAACATACCCATTTGCATGTGAGTCGTAGCTAGTTCTGTGAAGGACTCGTTCTGAAGGTTCAGATCTTTTGTTGCTCAGGGGTAATTTGGGCGTTTATGCTCTATGTCAAGACATTGCTCTAGTCGGGCTGAGGCCATCACACTTAGGGTGGAGGTCATCGCTACTAGATTGGAGGCCATTGCAATTAGGTTGGAGGCTATTGCTACTAGAAACAAAGAAAAAAAGAAAAGGAAGAAAGGTTACTAGTAGCAAGAATGCTCCTAGTAGTACGGCCAGGAGCCACGTTCGTAGCGCCCCTTCTCCGTTCGTAGCGATGCCAGGAGCCCCGTTCGTAGCGTCCTTGTTTGCTATTGGGGTGGAGGCCATTCATGTCTTGTTGGATCCATGTTCTTCGGCGCATTGACACCGGACGATCGAGGAGAGCACCTCCGAATGGTTGCCCCACCTGTCTTTCACGGCAGGAGACAGCTGATCAAGGGGCCGAGACACAAAGTAGCGATGCCCTCCACCTAGTAGCAAACAAGAAGCTACGAACGGGGCTCCTAGCATATCGCTACTAGGAGCATTCTTGCTACTAGTAACCTTTCTTCCTTTTTCTGAATGTTCATGAATTGTCCTTGTTTCCAATAGCGATGGCCTCCAACCTAAGAGCCATGTTTGTCCCATAGATTTGTGAGACCTGAAGTCTTTTTCTGCGACCTTACCGGGTGCCCAACACATTGCCCCATCTCATGATGGTTCCACGAAATTATTGTCAACGTTGAGAAACTAGCAGCAGGCCGTTCTTCCTGGCGACGGGTCCCAACAACAGAACAATTTGAATTAAGGCACTTGTTACTAGTAGCGATGCACTTGTTTCTAATAGCTTCTTGTTACTACTAGTAAGGCACCTGTTACTACTAGCGTGGCACTTGTTCCTAGTAGCGTGGCACTTGTTGAAGATTTACACAAAGTCGGAAGTTTGATAAGGTCTTATGTCATACGCCTAGACCTAGACAGTGTCACATAGACATAGACAATGCTGGCAAGTCAAGGTCGGCGATCATTCAGACTGCTTTGGGCTCCAGCCCTGTGCTGTTCTTTGGGCGCACAAAGGTGTGATACGGTAGTGGGGCATGGTCCAAGGCCTCGGCCGTAGCATCCCAGTCCGCTCGTGACTGAAGCGAACGAATCAACGCAGTGGAAGAAACAACATGTCTCAAGATCCTGATGCAGAATGAAAGAAGGGTGCAGTCCTATGTCTTGTGCCGCTGATAGGAAGTGTTTTTCCCATTTTCCCAGGCCAAAGACTAACACAAGGTCTCCAACTCAATCATGACTGCCAAGGTATCCACATGTCCTATGTCACAATCATTTGGAGTCCAAAAAATATCCAGCTGTTTCACGCCGAAATCGCGGCCAGGAGTGCTTTGTCCTCATTGTCATCACTCTGGATCTCCCCATGTCATAGACGTGTCCGAGTTGTCAGAGGCAGCGTAACGGAGCTTGCTAGACTATCTCAGACTGCAGTTCGGATACTACAGGAACGGAGGTTTACAGATCTTTCAGTAGGAAAACCCTGGAGATCAGGAAGGGAACTCGTGTCACAAGTGCAAAACCCTGGAGATCAGCTCTTGTCAGATCAAGAGACCTAACGAGTTCGATGACAACTCCTCGCATGTGCTGACCATGTGCTTTTTGGATGTTTCCACGTTCCTTTCAGACGTGGATTGAAGCAGATCAAACCACTGTGCTTTGCTGTGGCTATTCAACATCATTAAATCAAAACCACGGATTCTTTGCCAGCGTTCTTGCTAGTTATTAACTCTTACTATTGCTTTCTTGCTAACCACTGATTCTGGCTAAATCCTCCAAAGGCTTTGCTTTAAACTCCTTCCCCACCGTCACCGCCAAGAGGTGGTGGTTTGCCGCCGGAGCCACGAACCGGTGACCTTGGAAAAGGCGCTAAATGTCGCGAGCGATGTCACGGCAGGTTTTTTTCTTGTTACGACTAGCGATGCACTTGTTTCTAATAGCTTCTTTGTTACTAGTAGTAAGGCACTTGTTACTAGCGATGCACTTGTTCCTAGTAGCTGGTCTCCAACCGAGCGTAGCGGGCGTAGCGGCGTAGGTTTGTTCGCGCCAGGCGAGCTGGGCATTTCATTGGCGCCAAGAGACTTTGGACGGCGAGGATCGGCTCGTGGAGGACACGGAGTTGCCGATCATTGCGAGAAGCAGCGAGAAGCTGCAAAAAAAATGGTGCGAGGGGCGTAGATGCACACGAACTGCGAGCAGCACACGTTATGATAGTGATTTTAGGGGGGCATGATTGCTTTACTAGGAGCGATCGGGCGCTAGGAGAAACGGACCCCTGGCACGAACCGAAGGAAGGACGGAACCAAAAGGCAAAAACATCCGAAGAGGTAAGCCGCCCAAAGACACAAACCCTCACCTTCAAAGACCGTCAAAAAGAATGGTTGACCTGGTCTTGTAGTCTCAAGATCCCTGGTAAAACAAATGGTTTCATAAAGATCACGTTAAAAAAGAATTGTTCTTTTTCCAAACAAATACACTTTTGACCAGTGTAAAACACCGCGCAGGACCCGGGATCACCTCCCCGGCGCTCGCTCTCGGTGGAAGATCCGCCAGCAGAGCTGCAGGCGCTGCAGACTCCCGAGACTCGGCAAGTCGCTTTCGGCGAAACCGCCGGGTCACGCGCGTCCCAGCGAAACGGATCGAAGCAAGAAAAACGGGGAAAGTCAGTAGGAGGAAAGAAAGGGGAAAATCAGTGGATGAATTGGAATTGGAAAATGAAGGAAAACGAGATGGGAGGTGTTTTTTGTGTCTTTTCCCCTGCTGGGTGTTGTTCTCTGATTTTGATGTTCCGCTTCTTGGTCGATGCAACAGACTCGCAAAGATCGAGGAAGCTCCGGAGTCTGCCAGAGAGCATCGGCCATCTTTGCCGGGCGTGGAGAAGAGAACGGTCACCTGCCGTAGAAACTTAGAATGTCTCAGATCTCGTCCAGTTTTGCATGAAAAGACCCTGACACATGCAAAACAAGGCCTAGAGTGCAAAAACATAGCAGGTAAAATGACTTGCGCAATCATCCGGTGAGGTGTCTCGCCTGTAGTGGTCTAGGTTTTCTTCGGCGTCCCAGGTTCCTATCCCGACCCTCGAAGCAAGCGCCTCCATGCAGTCCTTGGGTAAGGCGCGTCATGTGCAGTCCTGATGGCCATCACAGTGCTCGGCCCGAAAAGAATGGCTTCCTATGGCTTCCTACTACTGAGAGCCCATATTCTATGAGAGGGGCTCGTTTCAATTGGTGATCAAGCAAGGATTGATCCGGCCATTTAGTCTATTGCTTGGGGAAAGCCCTTTGTGCTGGCAAGTCTTCCGCGAGCACTGGTGCTATCGGCATTTGCGGGGTTACACTTAGACGCAAAAAAGGGTGCACATCTTATATGTACTCTTATATGTATATATGGTCAGTCATATAGTGTCCCTGACGAGTTGCTTCTCCACCCCTGCTTGTTCACCCCGCCACAAGCCATTGTGCCTTTCTAAACTCTATAAATGTCAGAATTAGTCAAAACCGTTTGTTCAACACTAGACATGTGGACATCAAGCAAACAAGTAAAAGTAACGCTCCGTTTCTAATCTGGAAGAACGAAAAGGACACTGTTACCGCGTCGCAAAAGAGTATTGCAACTCATGTTTTCCATACGAACTCGACCAGGAGAGCGAATCCAACAAGGCACACGGGCCACACGGGAGTTGGGTGTTTGTTACGTTCGTAGTATGAATGCTCCTAGTACAGTAGCGATGCCAGGAGCCCCTAGTAGCGTCCTTGTTCCTAGTAGCGATGCCAGGAGCCCCTAGTAGCCTCCTTGCTCCTAGTAGCGATGCCAGGAGCCCGTAGTAGCCTCCTTGCTCCTAGTAGCGATGCCAGGAGCCTGTAGTAGCCTCCTTGCTCCTAGTAGCGATGCCAGGAGCCCGTAGTAGCCTCCTTGCTCCTAGTAGCGATGCCAGGAGCCTGTAGTAGCCTCCTTGCTCCTAGTAGCGATGCCAGGAGCCCCTAGTAGCGTTATAACCGTTATTGTTCCTAGTAGTAAGGCCGGGAGCCCTTAGTAGCGTCCTCTTGTTACCATAAAGGGTGCTGCCTTGGTGTTTTCGTGGCTCTGTGTTGTTTGGTGTCTAATTTGACGCCGTGGATCGGTTGAGATGGATGTGGCCATGCATGGCCAGCCTGATGAATTGTACATGACGCTCCAAAACCGTTTTGGGCTCGAGCCAGCAAGAGGCTGTGAGGAAGACTCATTAGGTTGGAGGCCATTGCTTCTAGATTAGACTCTTGCAAAGTTGCATCCCATGTCTGGCGCAAAGATCCAGCACCAGTGCACCACGTTGGCTGGTGAGTTCCTTGTGATGTCAGAGCAGGTAGCTGAATCTAGTTGTCATGCTCAGGGTTAACATGGATATTAAGTCATTGAGCTCGTACAAGATTCCTAGAATCGGACGAAAGGATTGGTCCCAAAAAAATGTTTCCCTACAGGCTGTTGCAGAGACCACTGCGTGGCTGTAGAAAAGGAGAAAAGGGTTTGATCCGCAAAGCCCCAAAACTTCAAGGCCCTTCAACAGTTCTGTGCATGGACACTCTGTGTGTGTGCCAATCCTTCAACGCCCATACGCTGTTTCTCGGAGGGTATGCACAAGGTACGCACCGATAAGCTGTTGTGCCAATGCACCCTCAAGTTACATCGGCAAACGTGTGTGGAAATGCCTGGTACTTTTTCAGAAGCTGCAATGGCAGTCGCAAATGGTTGGCGTTCCAAATGCGTTGCACCCTCAAAAACAGTTCAAGGGGCTGCTGTTTGATTTGGCATTTGCAGACGATAGAATTGCTAATTGGTGTTCAAAAGGTTTGGTTGGACTCGGCAGATGTTCACAGATTCAACTCATCTCAGAGCCCAGGCTACTAGCACAAGTGCATGTGACGCTTCAGCCAACGGAGCCACGAGAGGAACTTCCGATGAGATGTCTTGCAGACCTCCCAGCGAGTCTTCAGCCCCAAGAGCTTCCGGAAGACGAAGCTCCCGAAGAGGAGCCGACCTGAAGACGAAGCCTTGATCATTGATCCGTGGTTCTCGGAGGCCATTACTATTAGGTTGGAGGCCATTGCTATTCCATGGATCTGTAGGAGACTTGTGGAGACTCTACATACTCTCCGCGTGCAAGTTTGGGTTCTGACTGTTGATTCAACAGCCCTTCGCCGCCTTCGCCCTTGGCACTTTTGAGGGAAGACAGTCCAACACTGAGGTGATCTCGTTTGTCCGTTTCTCTCCGTCCAGTAGCTAGGAGCGTACAAGTTTTCCCTCAATTGAGTAGGTGCCTACTTAATCAAGTAATTAAAAAGAATTGGAAATGCGAGCTAAACGCTACTAGGGGCTCCTGGCCTTACTATTAGGAGCAAGGACGCTACGAACGGGGCTCCCGGCATCGCTACGAACGGAGCAAGAAATGCAAGCTAAAAGGAGGGCAAAGAACCCCCCCCCGCCCGTTGAAGACTGGGCAGTCGACCTCCAGGAGAAAGCGTGCGTTGGCCTTTCACCCTTCGAGCATCTTCCACTCCGCGACTCCTTCGGCTCGCGCACGGAGTATGACGCGAGTGACCCAGCCATCTCGGTGAATGGGCGGATCCATGATCTCTACGTGGAGCACTTCGAGGGTGCCATGCGAGTCATGGAGCAGAACCATCAGGTCTTGCAGAGGCTGGTGCACGAGCATCGTGGCCAATGGTCACTCCGTCGATTCAAAGACTGGCTTGCGTGAAATTGGTTTTGGTTGCCATGCATCGTGGCCGTGTGAATGCAGTTTGGAAAAGACGGAAGGGCATCCCTCCGCGCAGCAACACTATAGTCTTCGATGAGTTTGCTTGGACTCATGGAAGCACCCGTCGAGGAAGTGCCGGACATCACTGTCTTCTCTCATTTTTATGGTTTGATTTACTGTCCACAGCTTCCGGCGGAAAGGAATGAAAAGGAGTGTCCCTTTGCTCTTCAGGATTGATGCTCTCGCCAAAAAGGCTCCCCTCTACGATATGGTAGGCTACAGGTTGTTCTGGGCCACTTCGGGGATGGGGCGGAGGATCTCCATGGAGAGAGGTGCAGAGAGAGGTGCCGCAAGCCATGAGGCAGCAACCTAATAGCTTCTTGTTCCTAGTAGTAAGGCCAGGAGCCCCGTTTGTAGAGTCCTTGCTCCTGGAAGCGATGCCCTTTGCTACTAGTAACTTCTTGTTGCTAGTATTGCAGATGTCATACCCGCTTGCCCTCCCACACTTCCCCTTGTCTGGATGCAGAGTTGGAGACAACACTGGCAATCAACACACTGGACCAGTACAAGTACTCTCCAATGTGTGTAAATTTGGAATCATTGTTGATTTGGGATTCTATCAAACATATCTTGGGGATTTGTGCCAGTTCTGAGGGAGAACAGAATCTGGACGAAAGGATACTTCTCGAACATGTTCTGCCACCGTGCTTGTGGATCAAATCCTGCTTGCCTACAATGGGATTTGCTAGCAACTCTTGGTGCTTTCAGAATTGCGATGCACGGAGCGTTGTTTGACTCAAAGAATCGGCCGATGAACCTACTAGGGATGGCCTCCAACCTAATAGCTTCTTGCTGCTAGTAATGCCAGGAGCCCCGTTCATAGCGCCCTTGCTACTAGTAGCGATGCCCTTTGCTACTAATAGCGATGGCCTCTACCAATGTGTTTCCAGGTGGGGCTGATGTACTTCTTGTATGCCTCACCACTGACTGTGGATGCTCTCGACATCCGTGCTGAGCTACAACTCTTGAGGCCGCATGATACGCGAAGCGAAGCGTCGAAGTAATGTGTGAACTGCTGAAGAGCAGTATCAAGGGGAGGGAAGAAAGAAAGGAAAACGGTTTCAAGGTCTAAGGAAAGTAAAAGAAATGAGATGATGTTTGCATTGCAAAGGCAGGCGGAGCCACCAGGTTTCTTCTGTTCATGCTACCTCGGTGGTGAGCTCATCTATGGTTCCACGAAGAATCAAACAGTATCCATACCGGTCCGTTTCTCATCTTCTGACATGTTCTGCTGGTGCAAGGAAGTGCTGGACCTAAGAGCGATGGCCTCTAACCTAAGAGCAAACTATATTAGACCTTTCTTCCTTTTCTTTTTTTCTTTGTTTATACGTATTAGCAATGACCTCCAAACTACCAGCGATGGCCTCCAGATGGCCTCCGAGCTAAGAGAGATGGAACATTGGAAGGGAAGAAATCAGAAAGACCAGACCCTAATGCTTTCAAGGTTTCCCTGCCTTGGCTACAGGACCCGGGTTGTGGGATGAAAACATGAAAACTGATCCACTCTAAAAACAACCCAAAGCCAGCCCCGGCTCAGGGAAGCCTTGTGCGAGCAGGAGTACAGGGCAGAGCTCTCAGCGGTTCTAAGCAGCAAGGTACAGCTCTTGGAGATAAGTGACGCAAAAAAACGCAGGATGTGAAACAAGTTGACAACTAGGAGCAAGGACGCTTCTAGTAGCTCCTGGCATTACTACTAGTAACAAGAAGCTACTAGGAACAAAGAGCATCGTTACTGGGAGCAAGAAGCTACTAGTAGCTCCTTCAGGTGGGATCTTTCTCGACATCGCCTTCGCATCAGTGACGAAAATCAGCGACAAAAAAAGCGTCGACAGTTTGATCGAGGTCGAGATCGACGTGCGCTTGGGCCTCTCTTCAACGCTCTTAGAGCTGTTGGCCCATGGTGATCGAGCTTACCCTGGCGCCCCAGTCTTCCTCCATTGTGGCGATGGGCATGTTTGAGCCTCTCAATTGATTCAGAAATTAGCCTCAGGTTGGAGGCCATCGCTTCTAGTATTCAAGCGAACAAGCCTCCACGCTTGGATTTGTCAAAGTCTTCCAGTGCGGCCATAAACTTGTCGAAACAAGAATCCGGTTCCTTCCAGAAGTCGGCAATCATGGGCATTGATTGGGTTTGGTTGAACTTAGAGGAAAATATCGGTTGAGAAGTGTGTACTTCACGTTGCTCAGATTTCTGCCAGCTCGGTGTTGGCACATCGTTTGCATCAAGTGTTCAATGGCTCAGGGACTCTATGTTTCGATGATCATCCGAAATTCAAGCTCAGTTAAAGCCTGGAGTTGCTGGCGCCATGCCAGCCCCCGGTCTTTAGTGGCGAAGAACCTCGCACAGTTTTGCCCGGTTTGCCCACTCCCCAATAATGTCTCTGGCCAGGTGCCATGCATGCAGGATACGCTGCAAGCACGCATGGTTTAGAGCCTCATGGCCAAGATGGGAAGATGGGGGGAAGATAGCTGCTGGTTTGTCCGAGGTTTGTTGCTCGCAAATATGAGGAAGGTCACCATGAAGTTTTATTAAAAGGACAAAGATAAGCTTCGGGATGGCCTCCAACCTAGCAGCGATGGCAAGCCAGCTTGAGGAGTTTCGAGAAAAGATAGCTGCAACTTGCGAGGGGCTTTAGATCATGCGTTTTGTATTCTGCCTTGCCTGCGCTGCACAATTTGTTGAGTCATTCAGATTCGTGTCTCGATTCGGTCAGGTGGCACAGAGCTAGATGGCGAGCTATCATGAGCTATAAATAGGCTATGGACCCTATGGAGGGCTTCCGAAGCAGGATTGAACTCATATGGAAATGCTTTCACCATACTCCACCCAATCTCCGGAGATGCGCTCCAGTTCCGTGTTGAGGCCATTTCTCCTGTTGGAGGATGAGGTAGGAGGTCCTCAGCCCTTGCCCCGCTGGCGTCTCTTGCAGTGGCTTCGCCAGAGGGAAGGTGTCTCGGCCACGAAGGCATCGACGAAGGCGCCGAGATCGAAGATAGATTCAACCGAATTCCAACCAAATGAATTCTATAATTAGAACTATATAAAGCAATGGCCTCCAACCTACTAGTGATGGCCTCCAACCTACTAGCGATGGTCTCCAACCTACTAGCTATGGCCTCCAACCTACTAGCGATGGTCTTCAACCTACTAGCGATGGCCTCCGGCCTAGCAGCGATGATGGCCTCAACCTACTAGCGATGTTGGCCTCCAACCTACTAGCGATGGCCTTCAACGCTGAGGTCAGAAATGTCCCTTGAGTGGTGTCTTCCTGAATTGTTGTGATTCCGAAGGAATTGCAGGACACGGTGTGACACGAAGATGACACAGGGCGGCGGGGCAGAGGCATGACAGCCGATTGCGGGTACCGGGCGCCATGTGTAATTTGAGCGACCTTGGGATTCTCAATCTGCCTAAGGAGGTCACAAACTCAAAGTACGTTATGTTATATTTGAGTGACAATGGCGAGAAGACATGTTCAACTTCTTCTGGAGAGGGTTGTTTGGAGTTCAATCCTTCTCGAAGGCAGAAAAGAACGACCAACTGAACGAAAAGGTGGAAAAGCTGTTGACTTTCGAGTTATCAGAGGTGTGTGACCGCAAGCTGCATCTGGCATCTGCCGCATGCTCTCCACATGCAGCATCCCTGAGGCATGCTGCATCCCATGCAGCATCTCAAACTTTGCAAAGTTCGTCAACGTGAGAGAGAGAGAGAGAGAGAGCTTCGTACGCGAGCAAACGGTACCCATAGAGCATATCGCATACCAGACTCCTCAACTTATGCTGGTGCCAGGCAGAGCTCGTCCCAAGTCAAAGAGCATGGGCTAGCGCGCATGACCGCACGAACGGTTCCCCGGCAAAACCGAGCCAAACCGAGCGCCGTGACAAGGCGCGTTCGGCTATTTCCACAGACTCGCGGCTAGAGCCACGGCTCTATTCGCATGCGGTTCGCATGCACCTTCGACCGAGAATAGGGCGCTGAACTGTTCAGCGCTTTCTTCACATCGGTGCAGAATTGTTCCGAACCTTTTGCAGCCTTGCGATGGAAAATGCCAGATTCAGCAAACCCAAGGCATGGCCAGCGAGCACTGATCTCACTCTCGTGCTTTGATAAACGGACGAACTGCGGCAGCGGCTTCATTTTGAGTGCTTGAGCCAAAGCAGTTGAAGCGATAATAAAACTCTTAACACTGTAGCAACAATGAAGATCGATGATGGCCTCCAACCTTATAGCAATGGCCTCCAACCTAGCTCCAACCTAGAAGCGATGGCCGCCAACCGAGTAGCAAAATTAAGATTAATTGAGAGCAATCAGGTAACATGTGTCTATGTGTCTTTGTACAATGTAACCCCAGTAACCCGGTTCAGTGAACTGCTACGTGAGGAGCTTTCATGGAAGCCGGCGTGCCTCATGTGATTTGCTGCCGTGGACGAGTGTTCGATGGAGCTTGCAAGACGTTCACAAAGGCGGATGAAGGGATGAAAGATGATGAAAGTGAACATGGGAAGATATGGGAAGTGAGTGAAGAGCACTTAAATGAGTGACGACACCGCCAAACAACTGCGCTTTTACAGTACGTTTCGGCTGAATTCACCCCAAGGAAGAGCACTTAAGTTTGACACTTTGAGCGGAAGTCTAAGCTCCATGCGACATGGTCCACACATGTCCACACGCAACAACCAGAGAAGTCGCTCCATGTTTCTTCTTTGAATTTGCAATTTATTTGGTGGTTGCAAATACAGAGCCAGCTGGCGCGCAAAAGGCATTCTATCGATCCCTGGCAGCTGGTCGGCAGGTGCCTTGTCTTGAACCGGTCACGGGTTTGAATACTATGACTTTCTTTGACTTGTTCCTAGTAGCGAACCTTGTTACTACTAGTAAGGCACTTGTTGCTACTAGCGATGCACTTGTTCCTAGTAGCTTCTTGTTACTACCCATGTTTGCAGCCATTTTTTACATCATGTTAATCATGTTGATCACTCACGTAAACCACGTAAACTTGCACCGCGACACCGACAGACGATGGATCCAGAAGGTCCTGCATGCCATTGAATTGCTTGAATTCGAATTGAAGGCCTCCAACCTAGGGATTAGGGATGGCCTCTTGCTCCTAGTCGTAAGGCCAGGAGCCCCGTTCGTAGCATCCTTGCTCCTAGCTCCTAGCTAGCGATGGCAATCCCGATTGACTTTGCCTCGCCTTCGCGATCGGCATGAGGTCTTCTCGGCCTTTGAGTTCGCCCAAGAGTCCGTCGCCTTCTCTCCCCAGGCGTCCAGCGCACGTCTTTCGCACGTCGTGTCGGTCCGCCCGAACCGGTGTTCGTCGGTCGCGAACCGGTGTTCGGTCGCACGCGACCAGGCTGGGCTTCGACCAGAGGCTCAGAAGTTCGTGCTACTGCCCAGGTGAGGGGGGGCCGAAGGGTCGAAGGGGGTTCTTTGGGGTAGCCAGAAGGATGGGTACTGTAGTAGCCAGTAGCCAAAAAAAATATAAGAGAACTGAAAATTGTTGCAAGTTAGCCGTCGTCGCAGATAGGTTACAGGCCATCGCTTGTAGTCCAATCACTCAGAAGCATTCACATATTCCTCGATCTCGCTGTGTCCAAGTGCTGCATACCAGTGGGTTTCTGCTGGATTCTAATCCGTCTGATTTGTGTGCGCCCATGAGGCAAGAAGATGTCCTGAAGTATCCGGGTTTGTCCGTGGCGCCCATGGCGCGGCACTACAGTGCTACCTTGCAGCTCTTGACTGGGCATGTCACTTGGAACAGCAAAGTCGTGGTAAATCCTGAGTAGCAAACCTTGTTACTAGTAGCGATGCCAGGAGCCCCTAGTAGCGTCCTTGCTCCTAGTAGCGATGCCAGGAGCCCCTAGTAGCTTCTTGTTACTAGGCAAGAAGGGGTTGTTGACAAGCACTGGTCACAGACAACTCTACTTCCGCAGCATCCTATTGGCGCTGACTGAGCATATGAAAACAACTGGAAACCAGATTTCACAAGTCTTGAATTCAGATTTAACCTCATATACCTGGCTGCGTCTTTCTGCTGCTACACTCTCCAATCTGGATGCAAGTCCTTTTGTACTCCACTTCTTAGTTTTCACTTAAATCCAAATTTAACCTGTTCTCATTCGTGTGTAAGGCATTTTTTATCTGGAAATTAAATGCAAGCCTGGGCCATTGTAGTGTTAACAATTCAGTTTCCATTTGGATTTGAGCTGCTTGCTTTTGTGTTCGAATTTGGTTGAACTCAGATTCAAGCCTTCTGACTAGCATTTCTAAATTGGTTGAACTCAGATTCAAGCCTTCTGAACTCAGATTCAGGCCTTCTGAACTCAGATTCAGGCCTTCTGACTAGCATTTCTAAATTGGTTGAACTCTGATTAGCATGTCTAAATTGTTTGAACTCAGATTGAAGCCTTCTGATTAGCATCACGGACAGATTCAGATTTGAATTCGAGTCGTGTTTGTGTCTTTTGGTTGCTTGCTTGGGTTCGACTTTCAGGTGGCCTGAAGCAAGCTTGGGATTTCTTGCTTTCGGCTCCATTTGTCCTTTCAGATGCCCTAGGGATCTCTGAGAGATTTTTCCTACATGTTTTATCGTAGAAAGCCAGACCATGTAGAAGCTGTGGGCCAGCCAGTGGATGACCTCCGGTCAGAACAGCAGTGTCAGATTGCCGAGTGCGATTCTTCTGGAGCTGCTGAGGCTGTGCTGGAGACTTGAAAGGGAAAAACAAGGGTGGGAACAAGAGAAGGCTTGGGTTGAAATAGGCAAAGATGAGATACGGGGTGGAGAGACGCTTCGCACAGCTGCACAGAGGTGGTTGTCTCAAAGAAAGATCTTGCATTCTACTTTGACTACCAGCAGTAACAAAGGGCACACAACCTTGATTGGCAGATGCTCTCGCTGCTTGCAGTGCAATACAGCTTGGTGCTTTTCTTTCCAGCGACCTTCGACACTGATTGCTGAGAAGACTGGTGGGTGCTTTGGCCCCTTGAATGTGAAGAAAACTCGGCAGCAAAATGCTTCGGACTTCGCCAAGCAGTACACACCAGGCCGTGGGCTGGTTAAGATGATGGAGGACGACGTTCCCTTAGAGGAACGGCTAAAAATCGGACAATTGAGGAATCGTCGCCCAGCTTTGAAAGGCCAGATGGGTTTGGTTTGGATGAGTGTTTGTTCATATTTTCCAGATCCAGAAAAACCAACATGCAATCCCCCAAAAACATGCTTGCAGCCTCTTAGAACCGATGCGCCTGAGGCAAGGCAAAGCAGAATGTGCCAGTGGACTGCGTTGGAGAGATGCAAAAGTTTATCGATGCACCACTGTCAGGGGTGAATCTGCTGAGGGAGCATGCCCTTTGCAATGCAGAGTCAGAGGAGGTGTTTTTGCATTTTCCTGTTCCTGCTGCGGATCAGATCCTTGAGAATTGCAACCTCACTGGATTCCTAGTAGACTTCACGTATCAGACGAACCGAGATGGTCTCCTAGCATGACTTCGCAGGGACCGAGCATGGAGCTCATCCCTTGCTACTTTGCTCTCAGCTCTTCGGAGGATGAGCGCAGCACACGTGCGCTGGTCAAGCTTTACCTGGATAAGATGTCCGCTTTGGGTGTTGTTGTGGAAGATGCCTTTGTAGACTGCTCATGCATGCAGGCTATCACGGCGCTGTTGAAAGAAGAAGGGTGCCAGCTCGATGTCCACCGTTGCATGCAACATGTCAAGACCAACATTTCTCAGGCAGCCACCAAGAGAGATGAAGCCAGTGGGAAGACACGTCTATCCAACCGGGAGCTTTTGGCTCCCATTTTGGATTGGGTCACTCTTTCTTCAACACTACCATGAGACCTCGAATTCGACACATTTTGGCGCAGTATCCTGAGCCGAATGTCTGCGAAAGAGGCTGAGACAGATTTCAATGAACCCCAGATGGCTGAGTACTTGCGGAAAAACATTCTGGGTGACCAAGGACTTGTATTTATATACAATCTTGAGTTTCTGCTTTTGAAAGAAACCAGAGTGGTTGTAACAGAAACCAGCTGAAGACTGGGAGGCAGAGCAGATGAATATGGCGCTGTCACTCTCTGCGCAGGAATCTGAAGATTTCAAGAGAAAAAAGCCGGCAAAAAGCCACCAATTCATAGCCGCACGCCTGCTCGAAGAAGGCTTGGAGAGAGTGGACACATTGGCGGATGGCCGTTGCCTTTTTTTGGCTATCGCATTTTCTGCTGGTCTTGCGGTCGATCCTTTCGACCTCCGATGTCAGATTAATCAGTTACCTCCGCACTTTGCCCCACCTGTTTGCAGACAAAATCGAGAGCAGGTTTGCCAGCTTTGTCTACTGTGATGCCACGTCTCTGCCCACAACCTATGGAGACGAACTGTGCATTCAGGCTGCCAGCCACCTTCTCTTGCAACTTAGACCTATAGTCGTTGTTTTTTGACCATGACACAGAAAGCGCACGTGTCTTTGAGCCACCGCCGACAATTGCAAGTTCTTGCTGGGGACCTGAGCTTTTCATTGCTCACATTTGCAACATTATTTCGAGGCAACAGCCCCGCTTTCGGCCGATCAGACAGCTGCGCCGCTGAAAAAAAGCAGGTCAAGGCAGAGCCTCTGCCAAAGTGACGACACTCTTTTTCCAAGAAACAGAGCCGAAAATGATGTTCAGGTTCGCTCTCCTCTCCTCTCCTCTCCTCTCCTCTCCTCTCCTCTCCTCTCCTCTCCTTTCTTCTCCTCTCTTCTCCTCTCTTCTCCTCTCTTCTCCTCTCCTCTCTGTGAAGTGAGTGTTGGGGCCTAGCTGCTGGGAACTCTTGAATTCAGATTCAACCCATTCAAGCGCGTGATCCACCATCATTCATGTCTTGCAAGGCTAGAATTTCCATTCAGCCACATATTGTAGTGAGTGTTGGGGCCTAGCTGCCGGGAACTCTTGAATTCAGATTCAACCCTTTTCGTTATTCCAGTTTCCAGCCATACCCCTGAGCATATCAGAAAGATGTGAAAGGTATGGCCTTTTAATGCTGCTTTCAGTCTAGCTTTTAGCTACTGCACTTGCTACTAGTATAGGCGACTGGCTGACCAGTCGCACCTTCACGCTACGAAGCTTCGGATGCTTCCCTCAGGCCATCGATGAGAGCAAAGAGCTTGGCAACACATCCAAAGCGATGAAGGTGGGACCGGTGGGACGAGTCGCATTGCACACAGCGTCTTCCACGTGTGGCCAAAGTGAGTTTTGTTTGTGGCGAAAGCGCGAGAGTGAGGCCAACATGGCTGGTAGGTTCACACCTTTCATTGTGTTTCCTTGCTTAGTGGTTTGATGTCGTGCGCAGATGTTGGAAGCGTAGCCACATGGTGTTTCAGCTGAGCAGAGATTTTTTTTAGACTTAGAAACACTTGCGATTTCTTCTTTGCATTTTCCCTATAACGGTGGTGATTGGTGGTGTTGGTGTTCGTGCTCTCATGCCTTCTCCTTTGCCCAGTGGATGGGTGCTGAGTCCAGCACGGTACTTCCAGGAGATCGGGTTGGGGGGTCGGCTGAATTGACGTGGTTTTATCTTGCTTTTGCTTAACATATTGGGATGGTCGAAAGCGCATGAAATGCATCAAAAAAGTAATACGACGTTCAGAAATGTGTAAAAGAGTAGCAGCAGCATTACTTGGTCAGAGAAGCTGAAATCTTAATACTCGTGGGTGCTTTGCATTGAAGGACGTCACCAACACTTCTTGGGAAGGGCACAAGAGATGGCCACTTGACGAACGGAACGCTCACGGCACACTGAAACGCTGAGCAGCTGGCAGGCTGCATCGGTAGCTGGTAGACAGTCACGCCAAGTGCGAATGTCGATAGCTGGGTGTAGCTGCGGCTTTTGAGTTGAAGCAAACCCGAAATTGGGATTTGGGTCTCCGGGGGCGGAAGCACATTGGTCTTGTCATTGCTTCTGAAAGTTTCTGAAAGGGTGTTTTAAAAAATGACGAAAACAACATGTACCTGGCCAGTTACATTTGCTGTTGTTTAGTTCATTTCACGAGCGACCGTGATCCAGCGCTCTGAGGTTGAAATGGCTCGTCATTTGTCTCGCAGCGACCGTGCTCGAGTGGTGAATGTGTGGGGCAAGGCGCGACCAATGCGGATGCAGCGACCAATTGTAAAGGAGCTGGACTCGTTTTGTTTTCAGCGTACTTGAGCTACTAGCTGGGTATTTTATGGTTTTGCCTCGTTCTTTTCGAAGATATGTAAAGTCGAAGGTACTTCTGAGAACCTCCTTGGAGGCCTGCTGGTTTTGTCAGGGAAACGACGCACAAGCATGGGGCGATGGGCTGAATCGCCTCAGCTGAATCGCCTCCCACACTTGTGACTGCAGGCACCGGGCCTGGGAAAGACGGCGATGCTGGCAGAGTTCACTCGCTTCTGCATCTATCCAGGCACCGAAGGGGAGAAGTGCCCAGCCAAGCCTGCAGCGAACTGAGGCGAACACCCTTTTGTACTGCGCCTGTCCTTGAGAAATGCTCTGTGTGTATCCGTTTTGACGGCTAAACAAGCCCTTACGACATAGACCTGCTCGAAAGGCAATAAAGTTATGGAACCAGCAGTCTTTCGGCATATTTTGATACGTGGCATGTCATGTTATAGCATGTGTGATTTTCTTTTGTCTCTCTTGTTCTCCCTTGTTTTGAAGACCGGACATCGCATAAAAGCATCCATGAGCGTCTTCAGTCTCCACTCCAGGCCGGCTCTTCGAAGGTTTGGCCATCTGGGTCCCTTTGCGCTTTGCACCTCCGGAGCCGACACCAGGCGAGGACGCGAGGACGGACAAGTCTCCGAATAAAGAAAACTTCATAGTGATGGCCTCCAACCTAAGAGCCATGGTAGATCCAACCTACTAGCGATGACCTCCAACCTAACAACGATGGCCTCCCACCTAATAGCGATGTTTTCCAACCTAAGAGCGATGTCCTCCAACCTAGTAGCGCTGGCCTCCAACCTAGCGATGGCCTCCAACCTAGCGATGGCCTCCAACCTACTAGTGATGGCCTCCAACCTGGTAGCATTGGCCTCCAACCCGCCTCCGACCTAGTAGCGATGGCATTCCACCTAATAGCGATGACCTCCAACCTAAGAGCGATGATGGCCTCCGCCTCCAACCTACTAACAATGGCCTCATGTTTAGAAGATTCGAGCTCTCTTTTTGGGGGGAATTGAAAGACTTTGCGGCGTTCAAAGGGTTTTCAAGAGGGAGAGAAGACCACTGCCTACTCTTGACAGTCATGAGCATGAACCATGCGCTCATGGGTTCGTGAAGGACACCGCAACAAGGGCAAAACAATATATCCTTTGACTTGAAGCTCTCGCACTCTCTCTCTCTCTAAAATAATAATCTAAACACCAATCCAAAGGCTTTGCACTCATGATATTCAGAAAGAAAGATGTTTGGCATGAACAGAATCTTCCCAAGAACATTGTGAACCTGCTCAAAACATGTATAGCTGTGCGTTTCTTGCTCTTGTTGCGGAAACTTACACCCGGTCCGTGCATCATTGCCCCCGCAATTTTGGCCAACGTCGGAGGGTGTACATTGAAGCTCAAGGTCTTCACCGTTTCCCTAAAGCTCTAGGAACCAAATCATTAGTGCGAGCGCTATCCTGCGTCCTAGCTAGGAGCGAACTTCTCCTAGGAGCTTACTTTTCCCTTACATAACTAAGTAGGTGCCTCCTTGAATCAAGTAGGCACGGGCTAAAAAGAGTCTAAAATCATGGTTTGCTATTAGGTTGGAAGCCATCGCTAGTAGGTTGGAGGGCATCGCTAGTAGAAACAACAAGGAAAGGAAAGAAAAGGAAAGGAAAGGGAAGGAAAGGAAAGGAAAGGAAGGAACATGCTATTAAGAAAACACAACTCGCTTTGCAGGTTTGCTGCCTTTGGTGCGTGCCAGTTCGGGCCCACGCTCCGAGCGCGGTGACCTCTTCCTGGAGCAGGTGCGGTCGTTTTTATTTTGTCTTCCGAAGTAGCAAAGAATATCCGATGGCCTCCAACCTACTAAGAAAGAACAAAGAGGGACAAATCACACATCAACAAGACTTGCATGCGCTTTTGTTGCATTCAGAGAGACCTTGCACTCATAGGTAGTTTGATGAAAGCACATCAAAACCGAGTGGCCGTGTGTTGTCTGCTCGACAGGTGATGACCTCAGTGATACTTGGCGGACTCCTGGGATTCGGAGACGTTCCGTTTCAACGAGAAGCGTTCCGAAGATGTGTGGAACTGGGCGCCCCGTTCGTAGCGTCCTTGTTACTAGTAGTACGGCTAGGAGCCCCTAGTAGCGATGCCCTTTGTTACTAGTAGCTTCTTGTTCCTACTAGTAAGGCACTTGTTACTAGAAGCGATGCACTTGTTACTAGTAGCTTCTTGTTACTAGTAGTACGGCCAGGAGCCCCTAGTAGCGTCCTTGCTCCTAGTCCCTAAAAGAAATCCCATTCCATTGGATCAAGAAAGCAGTGGGGATGGGCAACATGGAAGTGATCCAAAAATATACGACAGGGTTCTGGGTAGCTGTGGCGTAGGGTTTATATCTCAAATTCCTACCTTAAAAAACAGACAGACATCAAATGAAGCATGCATCTTAGTGGAGTTGTGGTTCCGGGTGTGAGTCAGGCTGAGGTAAGCAAGGCCGAGCATTTCTGTGAAACGTTGGACTGGTACAACATTCGGCAAATGTACTCCTAAGCATTCAGATTGCGGTTGTCTTTAGTTGTGTGGGGCTTGGAATTGTATATCGTTGGTTGATCAAAACGCTTGGGTTGCGGCGCTGTCGGTGGAAGTCACCGAGGATCAGCTTCATGGAACAGATCGACGGTCGAGCGTCCCTTGATTAAAACCATCAAGAGCTGGGGATGTGATGGCCTCCAACCTACTTGTGATGCCCTCCAACCTAGAAGCAATGGCCTCCAACCTAATAACGATGGCCTCCGACCTACTTGAGATGGCCTCCAACCTAATAGCCATGTGATGCCTTTGATCTAGACAACCTGGTTGTGTTCACGTGCCATTTCTCCGGAAGTGCACTTTCCACCAGTTTTGCTTTCTTTCCAGCTGACAGAGAATCATGACTTCAAGTAAATTGAGTGTACAAGACCCGACTGACTCCGACTGACAGAAGTGAAGATCCGGGTGGTTTCATGGGTTCCGAGCCACAGAAGTACTCCCAGCATCAAACCGACCATGGCTTCAGTGGAGCAGGCCGGGTACCAAGAGCTATGAGACCTTGCTGTGGTCCTTGCGGCGCTTGGAGTGTCAAGGGCGAGTCCTCTTGGTGCTGGACCCTCGGAGCAAAACGCCCCAACCTAGAAGCGATGGCCTCCAACCTGCTGCTAGCGATGGCCTCCACTCCGTCTCCGAAGTGAGTCAGTCAAGTTTCGTTAGATCGGAGCTTTGATTGGAGACCTTGCGAAGCCATTTACGGCTGGCCTGTAGCTTTTTGTTGTCTTTTATGCGTGTTTCCGTGTCTTTTAGTAGGGAGAGCAGACCCGCACGACAGAGATAGGGAGGGAAAGAGAGAGAGAGGGACTGTGTGTGTGTGTGTGTCAGAGTCAGAGTCAGAGTCAGTCTCGTGATGTGCCGTCAAAAATTTCCAAGACTGCCCTGCCAGAGTGCTAAGATCACAAAACGCAGAGCTACTGAATCATTCAGTGTGGATGGTGGTTGATTTAGCTGCTGTTTAACATGTGAAAGAAGCACTCCGAAAGGCTCTCTTAGGTTTCTGAGACACTTCCATACGACTTCGTATTCATTCTGTGAGAGCTTGCACTCCAACCTATTAGCGATGGCCTCCACCCCAATAGCGATGGCCTCCAACGAGTTAGCACTCCCAGCCAGCGATTCCTGTGTGACTTGATGGTTTTGCCAAGGATGGGGTTGAAGACTGGGTCGATAGCATGGCTGTGAGGACGAGCGGATGTGGATCTGACCCGAACAGAGATCGCCTCAAAAGGCGAGTTTATAGAAACATCCCTAACCTCTAGCGATGGCCTCCAACCTAGAGGGGCAGAAAATGTAGAAACATCGCTACTAGCAACAAAGGGCATCGCTACTAGTAACAAGAACGCTACTAGTGGCTCCTGGCATTACTGGTACTACTAGTAACAAGAAGCTACTAGTAACCAAGCCCTTCAAAGGTGAGACATGCCAAATGGATGAGGTACATGACTTAGGTGCTTGTCGAAGAGTATCAAAGTGTTGTGTTTGCGTGTCACACGATACTTACAGATGTCTATCGAACAGCAGCATCGTGTACCCAACACAGCGCGGCTAGTGGACGCACTTTGAGGCACTATTAGACTAATAGAGGAAACAATAAGCTACTAGGAACAAGTGCATCGCTTCTAGTAAAAGAACTTTCTGCAGAGGATGTTGCTCGCCGACATGCTTCAAGCCACCGAGCGCCTGTGCATCCTGCTGGGCAGCCGAATCCATGTGCCCTGGAGCAAATTTTGAGCGCTGACTACCAGCAATAGCAACCTGAATATTTCAACGTTTGTTTGGGTGTTCCATGTTGCTACTAAGAGCAAGGACGCTTCTGGGGCCTCCTGGCCTTCGATTGTTGGTTCCCAAGAAGGGAGCTTTGCGTTGCGGGCCCACGGCGGATCTCGTCATTTAAGGTCCAAAGCTCCTTCGGTGGACTGAAGACCGACAATTTGGAGCTGAAGCCACTGCAGCCGAAGGATGCCGCACAGCTCTTCCTCTATCGTAGCGCGGCGAGCAAAATAGGAAAGGAAATTGCTTTAAATAGATACAGCTGGAACATGCAAAGCCAAAACGTTCGACTAAGAGGGCCTCATGTGAGACACACACACACAGATGGCAGATGGATGATGGATTTGACTTTCATCTTGGGCAACAGCCAGTGGCAAAGGGCATCGCTACTAGGAGCAAGGACGCTACTAGTGGCTGGTCGATGGTCGCCAAGTTGGGACCCACCATGTGCACGAGCAGGGCAGGCATTTGTCCTTCCAAAAGGCCCAGCAGCGTGGAAGATGACGAAAGAAGTGGGTGTTCAGAGCCACAGTGAGCCATATGCCAGAGCTCTATTGCTTAGGCGAACGGGCTCGATGGACATAACGAATGTGTCACACGACAGTGCCCCATCATCTTTTGAAGTCTTCTGTGTTTATTCGTAAATCATCCAAGTCGTTCTTGACATAATCCTTCGCAAACTGCCCGAAACCCTCACAAGGTGTCCACAATCAAACACCTCCAGGGCTCATTTTGGGTTTGAGCCTAAGAGTTCATAGAGACCCAGGCGTTCACCGTCACCTTTATTGGAAGGCGCGGAGTTTTCAGTCGCGGAAGATTTGCAGTTCATCCTGTAGTCTCCAAGAGATGAAACACGGGACATGTGCATGACACTTGTTGTTGCAGTAACAAGAAGCCATTAGGAACAAGTGCATCGCTTCTAGTAACAAGTGCCTTACTAGTAGTAACAAGAAGCTATTAGAATTAAGTTCAATTAGAATTCAATTTAATTCTAATAGCTTTTTGTTACTACTAGTAAGGCACTTGTTCCTAGTAGCATATTTGTGGTTCATGTCTCGTGATGTTCAACAAGTGAGCGAAGTCAGCCGTGTGAGGACATTTGGCGTAGCAAGGAGGAGTGGATGAAGAAAGCCACCGAGTGGTACGGGGACAACATCTACAAGAAGGCAAGCAAAACGAGTCCGAACCTACCAAAAAGGTGTAGGACAAGGCACTTGCTGGAAAGCCAACAAGAGATACATGTTGCAGAGATTCTTCTGGCAGCAAGGCTTGCGTTTCAGCTTCCCAAAATGTGTCCGACATGTTGTCACAAGGTCAGTTTCAACTATCAATCTGAGGGTTTGTGGGAAGATTACGTTTTTACAAGGGAGTCGTTTCACGTTGGCTGTGAGTTACGCAAGCTGGTGATGTACACTGAAAAAAGAGTGAGATAATCCCTGTTGAACCGGATGCATTGTCGTGCATATTCACATTGCATGCTTTTGCATAGAGCAGAAGAGATTCTTCAAGGCGGCTTCACACTCGGCCAAACAGGTGGCGGACCGCTCACTTCTGGACACGGGAGACGTTCCGATTACCTTGGAGCGGGAAAAGCGTGAAGAGGTCCAGAGCACAGCGAGTCGTCATCGGCCAGTGTTGGCAGGTTGGAGACCATTGGTTATAACAAAACGTTCAAGCTGATCGCTTGCTGTCAGGTTTTGAACGCACTGGCTGCCATGCCTTTGCTCTCGGAGTTTTGCCAAGGAGCCGAAGTCAGAACCGCTGCGAACGCCGCGACTGATGTAAGTCCACTTGAAGTTGTCACCCAGTAAGTCCAGGCCGTTTTGGCAACTCAGATGACACGCAGACAACCTTCCTTCATCGTCCCACATATAGAATTCCCAGCTAGTGAAAATATTACTCGTGGCTTCTTGTTACTAGTAACGATGCCAGGAGCTACTACTAGCATCCTTGCTACTAGTAGCGATGCCCTTCGTTCCTAGTCGCTGAAGAGTGGCTCTACAGATCTGTCGAGCGTCCTTTTGGGGGGCTTCAGACACCCGACCTACATCCTTCTGCCAGGCATTCCCTTGCGCATCCAGCAGACTGCAGAGCGAGTCTGGCACTCACAAGCCCATGGAGTCGAAAACGCCCTCCATCCTTGCTAGTAACAAAGGGCATCACTCCTGGGAGCAAGGACGCTACTAGTAGCTCCTGGCATTACTAGTAGGAACAAGAAGCTGCTAGGAACAAAGGGCATCGCTACTACTAGAAAATTCAGAATCTGGCCCTCCACAGAGTGTATCCTGTGCAGAGATCGGACAACAAGACACAAAGACCTGTTGGCTTTTCTCCCCAAGTCACAACAGTGCTCCGCTGCAGTTTGTGTCAAGTCGACGTGTTTTAAAGCAATGTCCCAAGTGTTTCTATTCTCCACCAAGAAGAACACTCCGAAAAGATCCGAAAAGAACGGTGTTTTTCTGTCTTTCTGTTTGTCCTTCCTTTTGCGTCCTTCCTTTGGTCTTGTTGTCCTCAGAACGGTAACGGTAACGAGCGGGTTCGACCAGGTGACAAGCTCCTTGCCTTCGCTCTGGGTGCTGCTGGCAGAGCTTCGGGATGCCCGTGCACGGAACCGCCAGGAGATTCAGCACCACGGCAGCAAAGTGAAGAGCAAAGGGCCTCCAACCTACTTGCGATGGCCTCCAACCTAGAAGCAAAGCAAAGAGACCAGCGGAATGGTGCGAACTGGTCCAGTGACTCGTAGCTTCTGGGATCTAAACATCCTACTAGACTATACTAGACTCACTAGACTAATATCGACGAGTAACCAGTTAGGCATTCCTGAAAACGATGGTTCTGACGATTGTGTTCTGAACCTTTGTGGTTCTGAACTCCAGAGTGGTATCCTTTGCTGTGACTGACGTTGTCGCCAACATCACAAAGCGAGTTCTGACTCTGGGAACAGAAGCCCGAAGCGGTCAGGAACTGAGGTCGGCCCCTCCAGAAGAGAAGAGACCTTGTGTTTGAGGGTGAACAGGGCAGAGAAGCCAACTAAGCATTCTTCGACAACTAAACAGAAACCTTCCCAAGCTGGTGCCAAGCATCCTCACTTTGCCTTCGCCTCTACCTTGCCAAAGGCAACGGCTGCTGGCACCTTCCACGCTCCACGCCAAGCGGCGTTCCATCAGCGGAGCGTGGCAGCTGGGTAAGGCCTCTTTTGGTCCAAAAATAGTCATAAGAATGCTACTAGGAGCAAGAACGCTTCTAGGGGCTCCTGGCCTTACTACTAGGAGCAAGAAACTACTAGGAACAAAGGGCATCGCTACTAGGAGCCCCTAAATAGTAGTAAGAATGCTACTAGTAGTGATGCCAGGAGCCCCTAGTAGTTCTTGCTCCTAGTAGTAAGGCCAGGAGCCCCTAGTAGCTTCTTGTTACTAGTATCTATTTGCAAGATGGTTTGATCGTTGCATGGTTGTTTGCATCCCTGTTAAACAAGAGGTGCGATATACCAGCCTCTCCGCTTTGGCTTTCGCATCGCCAATCCATCCGATCCAGGTGATCGGGCAAGGTGCACAAGGTGTGGTGTACAAAGCCTTGGACTCTGTGTCAGGCTGGGCGCTTGGTCAGGTTCTAGCTTGGGAGGGCAAGAAGCGATGCCCTTGTTACTAGTAGCTTATTGTTCCTAGTAGCTTC